CTTTAAGGACACTGACTGCTATTCAATCTATAACAGTGAAAAAAGTTTTTTGTTTTTAAATGCAAGCTTGTTTTTTTGTTTTTAAATGCAAGCTTGCATTTAAAAACAAAAAACTTTTTTCACTGTTATAGATTGAATAGCAGTCAGTGTCCTTAAAGCGGGTGTGTTACGCTAACAGTGGATACGGTGCCCAGTGCCACCACTCACTGGTGTCACAATAGATTGCATTTAAAAACAAAAAAATTTTTTTTCACTGTTATAGATTGAATAGCAGTCAGTGCCCAGATATAAGTGGTGGCACTGACTGGGGAAATGGGCACAGTATCCACTGTGAGCTTGACACAGAAGCTGGCAGCAGTGGCAGACAACTAACTGCAATTACATTACACAAAAAAAAAAAAAAAAAGCATACCCTAACCCTAACCTAGCTATGCCTAACCCTATCTAATCAACAGCAGCTACACTTTCCCTCCTCTCACTAAGCATGCAGCTTGAGAATGAATTTAAAATGGATGCCTTCCAGTAGGTGGGAGGGTCTGCTAGGGAGGGTGTGCTGCTAATTGGCTGGAATGTGTCTGCTGACTGTGAGGTACAGGGTCAAAGTTTACTCAATGATGACGAATAGGGGGCGGATCGAACCGCGCATGCATTCGCCGTCTGCGGCGGATGCGAACACGCTATGTTCGCCAGGAACCGTTCGCCGGCGGACCGTTCGGTACATCACTACTCCTGAGCAGGGCAGTTTCTTGCATATGTCCAACAACACTGTGTTTTGGCCAATTTTTAGCTCAGTTTATTCAGGCACATTGCACCCACGTAATAGCTTAATACAATGGCCATTCTGTTCTTATGTCTTTATTTTTTTATTTTTGGTCATCTTTCCTCTGTTCTCTTTTTTACTGCTTCACAAAATTGCTGTATTCTACAAACATGACTAAAATGCTAAAATGCTTACTTTGTTAGCTGAGTTTTCTATATTCTACTTAAAAGTCAAGGTTCTCAGTTACTTTATTAAATGTGTTTATGCCAAAAAGCAACACTCATTTGTATTCAAGATACTGCTGGCAATATAAGGGACTTAGTTGTGCATTTGGTTTCAGACAAAACATAGTTCATCTGATTTTGAGCGATCAGTGATTCATCTGAATTCCCCAACAAAGGACATATAGAAATATGCAAAAAATTAAATGAGCAATAAACAATCCATTTTGTTTGTTTTGTGAGTTGAAGTTCCATCCCTTATTGGCATTACTCCACCACACCTGCTCCCCAACAACCACATTAAAAAGTAAAAAAAAGTCTTCATTTAATTTAAGTCTTGTTTTGGCTGTTAACTGTTCATTCTACCCTGAATGAATTGATACACCCAGGATTTTACCTGAGGAATTTTAGGAATTTGATTTACTTGATCCAACTGGAATACATTTAAATACATTTAATTATATTAGCAAATTCTAGATAGTGACCACAAGATTGACCCTTGTGCCACCAAGGTTTTATTTTAGATTTTTCAAAATATTTTCCAGACACATTGGATGAAATCTATCTGAGCTGACATGCTCCTTCAAATAGTCCACCCCATCTATCTCCCTGCAGGTCAACAGGATGCCTATAACCCCAACTACTCAAATTCCCTTCCTTGACTTTACTTTCAACTCCGGTCTGATCATTTTACCTCCCATTCAGTCTGTATCCAATTCCTGTAACTTCCACCTTCAGAAATATTGCTGCATTTGCCATTTTCTATCTTAAGATACAATGAAAGTACATGCTCTCATTATTCCCAACTTTCCTATTGTAACTCACTACTTATAGGCCTTCCAATTACCCGTAATGCCCCAGTTCAGTCTGTAATGGATGTTGCCACAATGTTCATCTTCCTTATTGAGTACCACTTCCAAACATCACCCCTTCAGGATTCAATTTAAACTGCTACCAATAATCTACAAAGCCTTTGGTAATTCCCCTATCTTTACTTAACAAACACACTCCTTCTCATTCCCTTAACTCTACAAGCAAGCTTCTCCTCTTATCTGCTCATTCCTGCATTGCTAGCTTGTATCTGAAGGAGTTTTCAATATAATTCCCTATCCTATGCCATGACACTCCCCCTAACTTTTAGTTCTTTAAAGTGTCACTGAAAACACAACTCTTTAGGATAGCTTACTATCTTCTTGGGTGATGCTTCTTGTACTGCAATTACCTTACTCTGTTCCCTTGCTTTCATATCATAGCTCACTCTCTTGTCACTGTTTATTTCCTCAATTCACCTCTTTTATTAGTTTACTGAGAAATGTTTTCAGGGTTGGGCTACTGGTTGGGTGGGATTTATGTGATGGTAATACAGTCCTTACCGTTTTTATACCAGGGTACTGGGTGTAGTGGTATTCGGAAGGAGTCTGCCTCTAACTGTACCCAGTCTGTTTGTTCATTTGTGTCCATGCAAACACCCTCATGAGCATCTATGCTTTATAGTAGGTTTCTATATTGGGTAATCCTAGGCCTCCATTAGTTTAAATGATATCCTCGGATGCTTATGGGCCCATATCAACCTGGTGAATAGGCTTTTGATTTCTGAGAAGAAAGTTTGTAGTAAGTAGAGCAGTTTAGAAAAAGCGTTCATTTTAAGGATGTTAATTCTACCAACCTAACTGAAGTGTGGCTTGTGCCAAGCCATAAGATCTTTGGATATAGATTGGAGAAGAAAGGGGAAGTTGAGTTCGTATTTTTTGTATAGTTCGTATGGAATGTGAACCCCTAAGTATTTTATTGCATTGGCTGTCCAATGGAAGGAGAGGAGGGATTGGAGTGATAGTTTGGTCTGCAGGTCTATGTGTATTGGAAGAATGTCAATTTTCATGAAATTCACTTTAAGGTTGGAGAGGCGGGGGTAGGTATCAATTTCCTCTAGAAGAGGTGTTATAGATATTATAGGTTGGGTAATAGTGAAGGGGAGATCGTCAGTGAAAGCCGCTATCTTGTATTCATGGGCATGTGTAGTTACTCCATGTATGCGCTCATTGTCTCTGATGCCTTGTAGGAAGGGGGTCCATTATTAGGATAAAGAGGAGTGGGGATAGGGGGCACCCCTGTCTTGTGCCATTCTGAATATGTACAGGCTCTGAGAGTTGCCCATTAATCCTAATTTTTGCCGTACAGTTGGAGTATTTAGAATGCATCCATCTGAGCCAATTAGGTCCTGTAACAAAATCCCTCATTGCTTGTAGTAGTTATAGTGAGTTTTCTCACATTGGTTATGGTCTGGATCACGGTACTAGCATTGTATTCCAACCAAGAACACGCTCCTAGACTCTGGTTACCCTGGGACTATGGCCCCTGGAGTGAATTACCTGTTAAAAACTCAATTTCTGCATCTTGGATGTTAAAAACTATGTCTGGCCCTATAACTCTGCTGGGAAAGAATCTGTTATTCTTAAAACCGGTGTGACAAACTGCCATTTGCTTCTGTCTTTTCATGTGCCAAACTGCCCTGTTTCTCTGGCTTATGGAGAATCCTGCCTGCCAGCTATATCACTACTAACTCTTATAAGAGCTCTCTCCAGCTACCCTGCTAAATCTTCTGGAAGGAGAGCCCCAGCTATACCCTCCTGGAGGAGGGAGCCCCACTCTACAGGACCTTGAGTTCGAGCTCTGCCGTGGTCTCCAGTACTGGGAAGGAGGATGCTCAGATGGTAGATATACTACTCCATAGGGGTAACCATCACATTTAGTGGCAGCGGTGGGATGATCCTTTTATCCCAGGAGACGTGCAGATCAGATGGAAAACCGATATGAGCAACTAAAAAGGACAACTCTCAAGGACCTACTGGAAATCCGTGGAGGAATTACTAGCAGTCATCCTAAAATAGAGCTGATTACGGAGCTACAGCGACTGGATTGTAACTCCACCATGGCAGAACCCTCTATGCCCACTGGGGACAAAATGAACAGGATTGTCCGAGAGAGGCTGGCGATTTATGGGCCAAACCCGTCCAAGGACCGGATCGAGCGGACCTTTGCACAAGTAAAGACAGAAGTCCAGCAGAGGAGGGAATACGAGATGAGTATGGTGACCACTTAACGTCTTGCAGAGCCACCTGCAGTCGCACCTGCTCCTGCCCTCCCAGAGAAGCAAAAAGTACCCTTTGCAGCATTTAGAGCGTTCCTGGAAGCGGAAGGGGAGATCGATGGCTATTTGTCGGACTCTGAAAGGCAGTGCGTCCTTCACCAGGTGGAACAGAGGAATGGGTCACCATACTAGCTGGCAAGCTATCCGGTAAAGCCTTAGAAGCCTTTCGGTCTATCCCAGCAGACGAGGTAACCCAATATCACCTCGTCAAGGACACTTTACTAAAGCGGTATGCCATAACCCCTGAGGCATACCGGCGAAAATTCTTAGCAATGAAGAAGCGAGGATGTGATACCCACATGGAATGGGCACAAAGGCTACACCACACCGCTATCCACTGGATTAAGGGTTGCCAAGCAGTATCTGCGGAGGAGGTGCTGCAGCTGTTTCTCCTGGAGCATTTCTTCGACAAAGAGCTGCAGGATGTGGACCACTGGGTACGAGATCGACACCCCATACCCTCACAGAAGTGGCCCGCCTAGCTGATTAATATGCGGATTGCCGACGCCTAGACCCTGAATCGATCTTGACCTCAACCCCGAGTGGAGCCTCGGGCCCCCCTTGAACACAGGCCCTCTCCCCGACCAGAGTTCAGGGCCCCTGTTTCATCCGGCCCCACTCGTTATACTGGTCCCCCCAGACTTGGGTCAGAGAATTTGAGGGTAAAGTGTCACCGATGCCACAATACAGGACACCTGATGGCCAATTGCCCTATGAGTCAACCCAGATCTTCCTGGAACAATTCCCAGCTGGTGCTAGCTCCTGCAACCTCCCGTACCCCGGCAGCCCAGTGCGTAGACACCGAGACTCACTCTGACGAATATATGGGGGTAATGTATGAGGTCAACCCTATCTATGCCGACTCCGAGGATAACTGACAGCAGCATTGACAGGAGGTCAAGGTCGATGGACAGATCGTCCACGGGTTACTAGACACTGGGGCCATTATCACGCTGGTACAGAAACACTTGGTTAACGCTCATAAGCATACCGGCCAA